AATGGGGATTTATAGGGGAAATGGGGATTTATAGGGGAAACAAGGACCTATAGGGGAAATGGGACCTATGGGGGAATGGGGATTTATAGGGGAAATGGGGATTTATAGGGGAAACAAGGACCTATAGGGGAAATGGGACCTATGGGGGAATGGGGATTTATAGGGGAAATGGGGATTTATAGGGGAAACAAGGACCTATAGGGGAATGGGGACCTATAGGCAGAATGGGGATCTATAGGGGGAATGGGGATTTATAGGGGGAATGGGACCTATAGGGGGAATGGGGGTCTATGGGGGGAAACGGGGGTCTGTGGGGGTAACTGGGGGTCTATAGGGTTCAATAGAGATCTATAGGGTTAAATGAGGCCCTATAGGGTTAAACGGGTCCCTATAGGGTTAAACAGGACTCTGTAGGGTTATCTGAGGCTCTATAGTGTTAAATGGGGCCCTATAGGGTTAAATAGGACTCTATAGCGTTAAACGGGTCCCTATAGGGCTAAATAAGACTCTATAGGGTTAAACAGGACTCTATAGGGTTAAATGGGATCCTATAGGGTTTAAAGGGGCCCCTATAGCGTTAAATGGGGCTCTATAGGGTTAAACAGGACTCTATAGGGTTAAATGGGGTCCTATAGGGTTAAAGGGGCCCCTATAGCGTTAAATGGGGCCCTATAGGTTAAATAGGACTCTCTAGGGTTAAATAGGGCCCTATAGGGTTAAAGGGGCCCCTATAGGGTTAAACGGGTCCCTATAGGGTTAAATGGGGCTCTCTAGGGTTAAATGGGGCCCTATAGGGTTAAATGGGGCCCTATAGGGTTAAATGGGCCCCTATAGGGTTAAAGGGGCCCTCGTAGGGTTAACCTTGGTGCCAGCCCCGATGCAGATCTATAGGGGAGGGGGGTGGGGGGCGTTTCCTTGGGGTTAAGTGGAAAATCCATAGGGTAAGTGAAAATCCATACCCCGAGCAGGGAATCCATACGGTAATTACGGCCAAATCCAGCGGGGAGGCGGAAAATCCATAACCCGGAAAATCCATCCCCGGAGCGCAAACCCCGCTCCCAAACGGGGACCAACGAATCCATCCCCAGAGAGCAAATCCCAAATCCATCCCCGGGAACCAACAAATCCATCCCCGGAGTGCAAATCCCAAATCCATAACCCGGAAAATCCATCCCCGGAGCGCAAATCCCAAATCCATCCCCGGGAACCAACAAATCCATCCCTGGAGTGCAAATCCCGCTCCCAAACGGGAACCAACAAATCCATAACCCAGAGTGCAAATCCCAAATCCATAACCCGGAGTGCGAATCCCAAATCCGTACCCAGAGTGCAAATCCTGCTCCCAAACGGGAACCAACTAATCCATCCCCGGAGCGCAAATCCCAAATCCATCCCGCTCCCAAACGGG